TAAAACAGTTGACATTTGAGTGCTTATCGTTTGCCTAAAACTGCCAAACACCGCAAGTTCCAAATTAATGGAACAGAAAAACGTTAAAGGATGTCGATTTGAATGTACAAATACACACATATGCTTAATATAAAGAACTGAGCTTAAAACCGGTATAGACGCGTTCCCCTCGTGCTACAAAGTTAGTGTTCCGATTGCGTAACTTTTTAATTTTTTGCATTCACAAAAGAAATTTCCTGACAAAGAGAACCGATTAAAATTTTGACGCAATGAGCGTGTTGGTTGGTCGTGGAACAAGAAATTAGCTGCCAATTGCATCGAACACACTATTATAAGTTGGGCCATTGTTTTACTGTTTTTAGAACTCGTTTGAAGTTATATTAACTTGCATACATTAACGATACCGTTAGCCCGTACAGTTGTCGGCGTGTTTGCGGTTTCTCATGTTTGTGAGATAATCGCCAGATAGATCATTATGAAAGGTATACCTAATGTTGAATGCACATTTTAAGAAAGTTGATATCATTAGTAGGTAAAAGTTTATCTCAATTTTAACATAAGAGCTGGTTTTTTGATAACTGTATCAAATGGATATGGCATAAAATTTGAGATTTATAATACCGTTACCACCATGGATGCATCGTGTTGTTTTGGAATTGACTCCTAAAAAGTGAAGTGAACAAATCTCAGATTGATTTGTAAAATTAAAACGGTACTGAAGCGGCATCGGGTTCGTTGTTGTGTGTACAGAAGCGGACGGGCTCACAAACATATTAGTATACGTGGGTAATGCCTAGTCAAACTGTCCCAGGGGCGTGCGTGATTGTGCGGGCGTCCTCGGGATCTCCAGTGTCCACTACGCAGCGTCATCGCCCCGTTGCATAACCATGGACTCAGACTTCCATCATTTTATTTATTTGTATTTGTACAGCTGTTTTTAGTTTTACAATATTTATTTTATTTTTTCATAGTTTTTAATCCCAGAGTTGCGTTCTTGTTGGTCGTTTGGTCGTTAGCAGGAGTGTCGGGATCTCCGGTTGTGTTCTCGGGTCGGACAAAGTATTATTAACGAGGTTTTTGATTTCCCAAGATTCTCAGCAATGCCCACAGTTGGAATTTGTACCCATTGTATGGTAGGTTTACTCCTTATTGCGAGTGACTTGAAAAGTGTAGTTCATTAATTTTAATTTGCGCTCTTCTATCTACCCCATCTGAGGTAACAAGTTGTACTGCTTATTATGTTATCTTTTTGTTTTCACAGTTTTAATGTCAAGAGTTTAATTGTTCATTTTGTCTATCTACACGAGATTAGTGCCTTCATAAAGTGGTTCGATGACCTTGTTTTTGCACAGGTGCTCACAAAACTGGTAGGTTAATAATAAAAAATAATTATAATGGTAGAGTTTATGTTAGTGTTTCTATTTATAAATTGCGTTTGCAAAATTGATGTTTACTTAATGATTATTTTATGGTGATCGATCAACCGGGTGACCTTCTGGCGTTAAACATAATAATAAAAGATTTTAACTAAGTATGTATCCGAACGTGACCTCATTTAACCTACCTATCACCATAGGTTTATATAGTACGGTATATTAGATAAAAAATGTTTGATTAAGTATAATAAATAATTAGCGTTATAAAAGTTACTCCTAAAATAATGACTGTAATAAATACAGATTACATGCTCATACAAGTCATTAAACTCTCTCTCATTTCCGGCAAACGGTGTTTAAATAACTCTTAGAGTTTATTTGGCAATTCAATAAAATTAATTGATCAACATATTAGAATTATCACTTAAAACAGTCACTGTTCCTACCAAGAAGTAGGTAAGGCTACTAGCCAGCATGCATCATGATGTGAATGAATCAAAAGTATCACCCATTTTTTACATGGCATTACCGTCAAGTCAATTATGAAATCCACCACAGATGAGACCCAGTAGAGTTGATGCCTAGTACGGAGCTGTGGAAAGCCTAATGGGTTACCGGGGCTCTAGCTCAAAGAGCAGGAGTAGGAACAGGTCAGATTGTTAGTCAGTAAGAGTCTGACACTCCCTCTCGCCTAACCCAATCTTTACAATCCATGAATCCCCCACAATCCTCAAACTCCTAATCTCCTCCTCCTCCTAGTCTACGTACAAAGTGGAACAAAAATAAAGTCGACGGTCGGTTTACACGTTAAGCTGATCTGTGTCTTTAAGGTGTGCCTACACGGATATATCTAACGTTACAGCTTCAGTTTCTCTAGAGTAGGGCATAGATAACTATATAGATAACTATATTTTTTTTAACTAGCACCAGAATATTGTTAGTCTAGTACCATGGGAAACGATTTGATACGTTTCACGGCCCCATAGAATGCGCTACATAACGGCGCATACGAGATTTCGACTTGGACAAATTCTAGCTAAGTAGGTAATCGACAAAAGTGGTTCTATATGCGAATCTATGAATGGCGGTAACTGCGAACGAACATAAAAATGCACGTGTTTACCGACCCCGCAGGCCAATATCCAACAGACTGATTGCTTCTTTACTGTTACACGATAAAAATTTTATTAGATGCTCATAAAATGTACTCTGACGACTCGCGAGACCCAGTAGCCAATATATTTGAAACTACCCTGTAACCGACCTTTATAAAACTTAAGACTTAAATATGTGTGCTCCGAACAGCCGTAACGTCCGCCAGTTTCATTATCGACATCAAATTAGAAAAACCTTTAAAAATATATAGCGATATTAGTTCAAGAAATATTGCAGAACAGCGCTGTATGAAAATTGTGCTATGCTCTTTTAATTTAGTTCTATTTGCATTCAGTATAATTTATCAAATTCCTAAAAAAAATGAAAAAATCACGGCTGGTTGGGCGGCCCGTCGAACCGTTCAAATCGTTTAGTAAACACCGAATAGGTCGTGTACAAGTGTGGTACAACGATTTTAATCGAATGGAAACGGAACAAAGTGAAAATGTACACCTCAATTATTCCAACAGTCGCTTGTGGACAAATATTCATAGGACCACGTGGCCACGGCTAACGTGCACAATGTGAACAAGGTTTTGATACAATTGTTAATCACCCTGTAAAATTGTTTGCAAGAATACTTGTCTGCATTCTATATTATGTGACAACATGGGTATGATTTTTATGGATGGTCGTGTATTGCGCAGGTTCAAACCATATCACAGTTAAAATTTTCAAATCAGCATCACTTTATTGACATTCTAAAACAAGACTACAAAATGATATGCTTATAAAATTGTTATTCATGCTTTCTCTGTTTATAAAAGAAGTATAAGGAAAATTCAGAAGTAAATGCTCAAAAATCGTGTCTTTCATTTACTTTTGAATATCGACATTTTCATTCCCTTGAAACATATTCCCCCATTTACCATTTCCATTCACAAATTCTATTAGCTCATGTCTTAAAACGAGACAATTTGTCGACTGATCAAGTGATCTTCATAACAGGGTGCATACTTCAATGACAAATTACTTCGAAGTACCAAGTACTTCAATAAAAATTCAATTCACTTACACGCGATCATAGCACCTAAGTAATACAGTTGCTTGTATAGAATATAGCCTTCTACATAGCCCTATTAGGTGGCTATTGTAACTTACAGCGAGAAACGCTCGCAATTAAATTAGACGGCTGTTGAAATTGAAAAAGTTAATGGATTTCTAATAGAATTTTTTATACCATCATCATCCTGCGGAGCTAAGAATTTTTCTTTTAATCGTTTTATTTGTTGTACATTGTTTTAATATGTAGTGTTACGTACGTTACGTAGAATCAGGTTAAGTATGTAATATACACTTACGCGTAGGTATGACCTTCATACGTTATGGCTTATTGTGTTTCTATTCTCTATATTTGTGTAATTCAAACCACTTTGTTTGAATAATATGACAAAACCTACCTATACCTCTTTGTCGCCCCTGTTGATTTCTTACATTTCAATCTCAAGATAAAAAAGATTATATATTCAACTGAATGTTGTTAGTAAAATTACTCTTAGGTTTATGTAGATATCATACCTATCGAGGTAATTGTATGAATACTTTATAAATCCTCTGGATAATTTTCATACAATAATATGCATTAGCATTAAATTTCACTTCCAAATAGACTATCGACATGTCTACATTACATCTAATCTACTGGATCATTTGTTGTATCCTAATGCCTACCCAAACAAGTTATCACATCCTGTGTACTGGCATTTAGTGCTTGCGTGGGCTGGCTAGAACCACATATTTCTCGGCTGTGCCATCCTAAATTCTTTAATACCTATTATGCTAATATGTGTCGCCCGTTAATAACCCGTCTGTTATTGGTTAAATCTCATAAAAGAAGTCAATAAAACGTAAAGCTTTGGTCCGTGGCGTTTGGCCTCTGTTCGAGTCTCCCGCAATAAAATACAAATAGAGTCGATTGAAATGCAGGACGAACCGGGCTGTTTACTTCATGCCGAAGCCGACTCGCTGTCGTCCAAGGCAACGATAACTAAGATTGCTTTTTTTTCAGTTTTCAATCGCTTGTAAATTGTTATAGTGCAAATTAAAACTTCCATTAACTTGCCGTTTTCATGGAAATACTTTTCGATTGAGGTTCTTATGCAAATATTTCTAACTGAGTACCTATATATCTAAACTATATAGATAGTTTATTGTATAAGTGACAGATTTTCAATCTTAGAAACCATTTCGTTATCAACACTTGATTTCATTTTTCATTATATTATTTTAATGAGTTCAATAACAATTACTAATAAGCAAATTAATATACCATCCACTGTGATTAAATGTCCGAGTAGTACTCCGCGCGCATTGAGATTGAGTGATATTTCGATGAAAACCTTCACGGCTATCAATTACCCCTTAATTAAGTCGGAAGAGGTATTAATGCGATAACAGTTAATTAATAAGCGATCAAGCACAATTGAGCCAATAATAAACCAGTATTCCATTCAGTGGTAGTCTGGCAGAATGGCGATTAACATGGGGCTCACGCTGTGTAAGGTCACAATATAGTTATCTTGTATTCATTACAATACATTCATCACAGGTCTGGAATAGATGTTCTTATACTGTTGCCTAATTTGCTTATCGGAGGGCTGTTTCCCATAGTAATTTTATTTATTTATTTATTACCGAATACAACTGGTTAAAATATAAGAGTCGTCTTTATAAAATCCTATAATATATGTATACCTCTATGGTGATTTGATTATTTACTTTGTTGCAAAATAACTAAAAAGCAATATTTTATTTTCGTTTCAGGTCATCTATTATTTTTTATATCAGCAGTTTACTGGGCCCTATCACAGGAACAAGATATGAGTTCGGAAAACATAAATGAAATTTTGGATAGGTTAATACAACAAACCAGACCAAATGAAAGTGGTATTGTACCAGACATAGTGGATACTGTCAATCCTAGCGTTGAAACACCGCCAGGTAATGATTCAAATATTTATTATTTTAAAACATTTATGGCGCCACGAATTAATTTTAAGTCTAATGGTGAAATAGTTCAAGGTTCTCAACAGTCAAACATTAGTAGTATTGAAGTCGATGAAGTAACAGAACTAACCACAGGAGAAGAATCTTCGCCACGAACAACTAAAGTAATAACAAAATCGTTTATTGAAATTGAACATCAGAAACAAACTATACCGAGACAACTATATGGAGGTAACACAGTACTCAAATCTGAAAACGTGGACAAGAATACCACCTCCATAGAACATTCAATAAAAAAAGAATTTATATCAGATTCAAACACAGTCAACAACAATAAGAATAGTCAACAAAATTATAATTTGAACTTATTACATCAATACCCTGAGATCATAATTGACCATGTGACCTACGACAACGATGAACAAACTAATGATAGCAAACCAGTCACCCCTACAGTTAATGCCCAGCGTGTACAAGAAATCCTTTCAAAACCTTCTTTAAGAATGCGACATGGCAACTCAGACGAAAATATTGAAACAGCAAATCGTGGTCATTTGGAACATTCTGGTACAAATAATTATTTAACACCCGAAATTAAAGACTTAATCGATACCATTATACAAAAAAAAGTAACACATGATACACTCCTCAGACAAGGCACGGAAAGCGAGACTCGCAAACAAAGTAAACTTCTAGAAAAAATACTACAAAAGCTACCTGAGATGAAATTAGTGGGCAATAATGGTAAAGACAACTACTTACGTCAAAGAGAACATGTTCACCCTCCAGAAATTGATACATTGCCACGTTTTGGTAACCCAGCCGATAGTTTAGTACTTAGAAATGTAGGTAATCATTTTATAAAACCATATTTACATGCACCGCATGTCATTAATAAATGGGAAATACACAGCCGCTTATTGAAGACATTATTGCGAACGTGTAGACCTAATGGCCTTAACCATGTTCGGCTGATAGCTGAACTGATTGACAGGATTATATCCAACATCGATTACAGATCTGCATGCTATGATTTATTTAAGTAATAAAGAAGTGTCAAAAATATAGTGTGTTTGTAATTATAATTTCGGTGCCTAAATTCCGTTTGTTCATAATCAGTCACCGGCAGCTAGTTAGCAAAGTTGCGACTGGGAAACACAAAGAAGCTATCCACAATTCGTAGTCTAACTAGTGACAAGCGTGCAAACACGATCAAACCGAAGTCCAAACTGCGCTCAAAGATCTAGTTAGCTGCGGGGATGATCCACTGTTCATTGCCATGTTTGTTATTTGCTAACGTGGTTAAGAACAGTGTATCTGGCAATGAGTGTACAACACTACTGCTGAAGGAGGTGTAAATCTCTTGTTTATTGTATACCTTGTTGCTGAGGAAAAGTAATGAAATCGAAATGTTTACTGATAGATTTCGCTAGTGGTCGAAAGACCGACGAAATTTTTGTGGATTGTTTTTTAAACTTTACATTATGTAGAGCTGCTACAGATAAGTAAGTATAAATAACTAAGTAAAATTCATTATGCGTTTATTTTTATTTCTGGGGGTCTTTAATGTACTACGAATCATAAAATACTATAAGCATTTTGGTATATCGAGACACTAACGAAAATCAAAACATGAAGATTCTGTTATTTGAAACTTATAAAATATTGAACACTAACGTATTCGAACAAAGTTAAATTAAACGAGGTAGTTTTTTTGCCCGCACGTGTATCGTTCCCGGAGGTGTGCGGGGGAATGCATTAATTTTTCACTGCTAGCTGTTAGCAGCACATTATAACAAGACAACTTCACACTCGGCGTGGGGGGGTGGTAATCCTTGAGCGTATTTTCACGGCGCGTGTTAATCTCCGTGAGGAGCTTTCAATAGCGTTTCGCATATAGAAAAGTTTGGGCGAAAATGTTTCCAACTCCTCACCGGCGTTCGACAAAGTTGTATGTTAATGTGTTTCCCCTTTGTATCGGGACTGTCTGCTTGTTAAACATTATGAACCTTTGTATTTAATACTTTAGGTGAGTATCGGAAATATGAAGCGATTTATTTGTTTGTTGTTTTTATTACGTACAAAGTTATGCAACGGAATCTTTTTTAGATACGTGTGTAATTTAAAGTACCAATGTTTTTTATGTGATAACTCTGCTCTAATTAATTAAGGAAAGTTAATAAGTTACTGAAATTTCTGCTTTGCCGAAGTTGTATATCCCAGTATTTTTCTAAATGTGAAACATTTCTTCTACTTTGAATTAAATTTTAAAGTTTATTAATTTTATAGCTTGTCCGTTCACAAACGCAGCACGGCGCTCCACGTCCTCGTCGTTCATAAAGCGATACATTCGAGTTGGCTGTTTATGTTGTCTAAACTGGTTTTGATTCAACATGAAAAATATAGCGCAGCGTACAAACGCGCCGGCAGGTTTTCCATTAGACCGCTGAGTTAGTCTTATAATGAACTGCAATAATCCCGGCTAGAGGCTAGAACAAAGTAAATATTTCCCAGCGTGTGTAGCTTTTAAGAAACTTATACAAATCCAATTTATTTTCCATTTCCTCACTTCATGAAAACTTAAATATGCTCGCAAGGTAAACCACTCTGCGAGCAATCCTTTGATCGAGCTTATCTCTTTATGCAAAACTCTATCAAAATTTGATGCCTCAAATACTAAACCTCACTTTTATATGATACTTGGAAACTTGTTTATTATAACTTTGAAAACAACTTTTAATTTGCAATGTTAGACGACTTTTACCTACTCTAGACCTCAGCCAGACGATCGAATTTTACGTGAACGTAAGTAAGTCAGCCTGAGGTCTCGCACCAACGTAAATACAAAACTGTTCATTAATTATAATCGAACTCGTAACTTGAGCTTTTGTTAAAGAAGACAAGAGTCTGAGATAAGGCAAATTGTTCTAGCTTATCTTTTCCATAAGAAATGCTAAAATAGAGTTCGGTACAAGCGGGCTTAATAAGAATTCAAACGACAGAGCAGGTTACAGAGGCGCTCAACTTAATCCGGATAAGCGAACTGAATCGGGAAGACATCATTTCATTACCCACTATCGCATCCGTTCAAACAAAAAGCATATTCTGTATAAAGCAGTACGTACCAGTAGGTACCTTCTTGTTTAACGTACTCGACTTTTTACGTTTGTAATTCAATGTTGGTAAAGTGATTAAGTTTTGTTTTTTCTCTAAATATTTCAAATATTTAATATACGGCCGTAATGGAATTTCAAATAAAAACTAAAAAAAAATTGTGCTTCAGTTTTACATAAATACGTACTGTTTTTTAAACTAGAATACCGATGATATCAATCGTCATGGAAGAATTTGATCTATCTATTACCTAATAATACAAGTCAGTATTTAAACTTTTCTATGTATTCCTTTAAAACTTTATTACTTCTGTAACATTCACCAAGTCTCATAAAGATGCACGTTTATCAATCTAAATGATTCTATTCTGATTGTATCAATGCATAAACATCACACAGCAAAGTGATCATGACATAGAAAATCAAAATAATTTAAAGGAAACCTTTCAATAAATGAGATTGAAGGAAACAGTGTAACCTCATAAGAATATAGTGCCATCCGCAAAATATCTATATCTACCTGTTTGTATAAATACAGGTGCATACATACTCCCGTATGTACCGTTTACGCAGACTAGAAGATAATTTTGCAAAAAGACTGCAGCACATAGCATTATTCTTACTACTTCATTGGCTACAACTTCAGAAAATGTGCCGTGTATTGTTGCATTTCTGGTTGGTGATACTAAAAAATATTTCTAAACTATAGCAATTTTACTTGGTTAGGTACTTATTCTTAAAATAACATGTTTATTTTTCTTACCAATAATGAAGCTACCATATATCTGAATATATATACTTAAATGATTAACTAATCCCGTAACTACATTAAATCCTTACTAATATTATAAATCGGAAAGTGAGTTTGTTTGTTTGTTCCACTTTCATACCGTAACTACTAAACCGATTGCTTTGAATTTTTGCAGACGTAAAGTTAGAAGTCTGGATTAAATAATAGGATACTTTTTATCCTGGAAAAGTTTGATATTCCCGAGAGAAAATAAAAGTATTGGTATAGATGGCGCTGTGTGTGTTGTTATATGTCACGTAGGCTACTTTTTATGCTTTTGTGACGCGAGCGAAGCCGCGGGTGAAAGCTAGTATTAAAATTCAGGTGTACCTAAACATATTGCAAAATAATAACAAAAAAGCGAATCACAGCAAGTGTCGCGACTACGCTAATTATGTGAGACGCGACATACCTATGCAGAATTTTTCATTCTCAACAGGCGTCGTTCGCGAGGTAGCACTGGAAACTTTATGGATTGTGCATGAGACATGAATTAACTTAGAAAAGTAGTTCGACATACCGTCACACACAGTCACATGCAGCTTGAGTTGAATCACAAAGAGCAAAACATTAACGCGAACTAGTTACTTATCTGAAAAGCTATTGCGAAGTTTTCAACACTTTTGTATGTATTTTCAAATAAGTGTATAATTTCGCACATCGCTTTTAGATGTAGGTACTGTTTCAGACTCGTATATTACCTACTACTGCTTGCTTCACCATGGAAGAAGAATAATTTAGGGCGAGTAAGCCCAAACCTTTTCAATCTCAGAACAAAGGTATTATTATAACTTGCTACGTCTCATTTAAAACTTAATTTCTTATTTTAACAGCTCTCGAACACGAGCAGAAGGGATTTTAACTAGTTATTTATACATTATAATTAGATACCTATAGATATGAATAATACACTAAACTATCCACATACAAAGGAAAGTTATAATAAAATGTTTAATATATAAGAAAGAACATGAAACGGTACAAAAAGAAAATGACTAGCCTTCCTGTAATTTGTATTAAATTAAATGTCTTGTTATTATTTCCTTAGAAATTACTTATTACAAGCATAGAACTGAGAAGTGACATGTGACAACGGAGGTCGGTCGGCGAGTAGTTGAGTACTTGAGTAGCCAATTACTTTAAACCCAGTTATTTACAGGGTGACACTTGGCGCGCCGTAACTGGCCCCCTGTCGTTGATTGCGTTACGTGTGCGATGCCCTTGCGTGTAGACGACGACATCACTTGGTCAACAAACGGTGACATATGTGCCTAATATAATGATTTATCAAATTAATATAAACCTTCGCAATATTTCTTTAGACTTCATAAGTGTACAATTTTTCCAGCAAGTACATGGATAAGATACTATCGTTAAATCTCAAAAAGTTCCTTTAACAAAAATCTGGTAATTTAGCTAGCAAGCTATGAACATAAAACCTGAATACGTATTCAGAGACTTTATTTTTTCAAGAGGGCATACACTTAGGTACCGTAGGTGAGCGCGAGTTACGCTTGTTTTACAACACTTTAAAACAAGGCACTAACGTCTTGTAGACGGAACGCAAACCGTCCAAAGAAAAAGAATGCATAGCGGTTTATGTTTGCGGTCTCCCGGACTATTTTCAACCGAAATAATTAAAAGTTTTTACGATCGCCTCTCTACTATCGTGTAAAGGATCCGACGTCGCTCGTGGTAACTGTGTGAATACGAACTTAGCACTAAACTCGGGTTATTGAGGACGTCTCAAAACTCAAACGATTGTGCTTCAGCCGGCTGTAAACCGATATGTACACATTAAAAGAATATACCAACATTTTTATGTATTAGTGTTTCAGACTCCAGTACTCAAAACCGTAGTGGTATTTAACTCGCATGGCTAAACGTTACGGGAAAAACGTAAAAATACAAGTAATATGTGATATTGATTTATACAGCAAAGGCTACGGGCGAATGGTTATTTAAAAGTACCATAAGTGTGGTCCCATGCAAATGCATAGTCGATCAATTTTTAATAGTTCGCGTAAATATGCATAGAGGGGCAATTTACGTTTGTGAACATGAGTTGATATCAATTTCGGCGTCGGTTTTTGCAAAAGAGCCGTTCCAACAAGGTTAATAGCGGGTTATTTAATCGACAGTA